TCAACTTCTATTTCATTTTTCACATTCTCGGAGCGCTTAATTATTCGTTTGGTCCTAAGTTTGGTCAAAAAATTTTAAACTAATTTTTGCTTAATTTTTTTATTTCAATTGTGTCTTAAAGTTTGTTAAAATATTTTAATCAAATATTGTTTGTTAATATCTTTAAAATAGTTAACTTCTACATAATTAGACATGTTTATTTGATGTAGACGTGATACCCTATTTTTTTTTGAGATCCTCATACACAGAAAATACTTTGTGCTCTCTCGTCCCGTCAAAAAAATTCTCCAAAACCTTTTCATCTCTTCTCTTTTCAATTTTCTTGTTGAATTTAATTTAATCTCATCAATTTTCTTAATGATAAAGACATGAGTTCTATAATGAAGTCTCAATTATTGCGTAGGAAAGGAAAAAATGATGAAGAATGGGTTTGTAATGACTATATGTGTTCTCTATTTTATTTATTTATTTTTATTTTATTATTTTATCTATATTGAAGGATTAAGGTATACGTCGTGACATTAAATATGTCTTCTTTTCTCAGTGGGTATGAAGGTGAACTCAAATCAAATAATGGTGGTCGGAGAGGGTGATAATTGGGTTTCTTGTATTCTCCTAGTACAAAGAAAGCAACCCTTAGAAGGTATGGTGGATGAGTAATGTAAGGTAAAAAATGCACTAGTACAAAAAGAACGTATAACGTCACATGTTCAATGTCTAACCACTAAATATCCAACGTTAAAAATGACTCGTGTCATTTTTTAAATAAATGCAATTATTATACGTCGTTTAGAGTTGTAATTCGACGTCAATTTGTTATATTGAGTAAATTTTGCAAAAATATTTGGCGCGAAGATGAAAATGTATTTACGTATCACGTCAAATTCCCTAGAATTAGACGTCAAAAGAATATAAAATGTTGAATGCCCCAGCGTTAGACGTTAAAAGGTGAATTAATTCAATAAAAATTTGAGTTGGAGATTGAAAATTCATTCACTTTATCTTAGCGCGCGGTATCCTCTTTGCTGCTCAAACTTTTTTGGAACGAAGTTTGACGACCATCACATGTAATATTTCTTTCATTTGTAACAAATGCATGTTAATTAATTATTTTAGGTATGATTTTCGTTTGTTTTGATCGATTATTTTCGTGTTCTTGTCCTTCATAGGCGCATTCTGTTTTCTCTCTCACTGATGGCAATACTTTATTTCGACGAACCCACCTTTTGAAGGTTAGATTTCATTTTCGTTTTGAAGAACTTATTTGTTGAACTTGTTTGTTGTTTTTTGTATTGAACTTCTTTGTTGTTATTGTTTGGTTGAACCTGTTTGTTGTTTGTTGTTGATACTACACTACACGTTCATAGTTCATGCTTTATAAAATATAAAAAACTGAAATTTGTTGTTTTTCTGCTTTTTAGGTCTTGTAGAGTTGTAAAAAAGGATCACAATTAATTAAAAAAAAACAAAAAAGAATTTGATTAATGTCGAATACAATTTAACACCTTCCAATATGATGTCGACCTCAAATTCGACGTGAAAGGCCAAAAATCACCGACATTATAGGATGTTTTTGTACTAGTGATGAGAGGAGGATAAAGTGTTCTCTATGGGGAGGAGCCTCTTGGCTTGGAGAATGGGAAGAAGATGATGAGTAGAGTAATGAATAATGAGAGGATGAAGATGTTTAGATGGTTATGGTAGGTGGAACAAGAAATAGGATTGATTGAAGCATTTCAAGCAAAATTCTATGTCAGAAAATTCCATGTTTGCATCACTTGCTACTAAACCATGCCTAGTCATGCAACGTTTAATTATTTTAACAAGCAAAAAATGCCTACTAAACCATCCCTGTATTTGTCATTTAATCTCAATTTGAACCTAACTTAAACAATTTCATTCTTGTCTAAATTGAGACCAAATTTAGATTTTATATAAATGTAATCATTATTATAATTATATTCGTATTAAAATTGATATTTTTACTAATATTTTTAACAAAACTAAGTTTATTTAAATTTATATTCTACGTTGAATTTTGTTTAAATTTTGTTTAAAATTTTTAAGTGTATTTATTTTAAATTGTTATCAATTTGTTCTAAAATTTAGCATTTTAATTTATAAAATTGTTATTTCTAAATCAACTTTAATATTTGTATAGAAAATATAGATATATAAACATTTGAAACAAAATTTAAATAAAGTTTAATGTAAAATATAAATTTAAATAAACTTAATCTTATTAAAAATATTTAATAAAAATATCAATATCAATAGAAATATTATAATATTTATATAAAAGTTAAATTTGTTTGAATTTGGATAGGAGTGAAATTTCTCTATTTTAAAAAAATTGGTATTGAATGGGAAAAAATAACAAATACAAAGACTAAATTGAGATTTTTCACATGATATTTGTCCCATTAGTAATATGTAACATATCATACTATCTTTACCACATGACAAGATCCTCATTTGAAAAATGGCATTTTAAAAAAAAAATCAAAAACTAACATGTGGCATGTAATTTAGTTGAAGTTCTTAGTACTATATTAACTCAAATGACTAATTTACATCATATTTTCTAAAATGATGATATAATTGAGACCAATCAAAATATGATGACCTAATTAAAATTTTTGAACAAAAACAAGAACCAACCAAGGTTTAAACCTTATTATAATTATAAAATTAAGTATAAATATCTTTTATAATTTTATTTTAAGTGGTTTTTATTTATTTTGTGACAAATTTTTATTATATAAATTGTTAACTTTAAAAGAATATCAAATCAATAAAAATAGTTAAATTTAAATAAAGAATCACTTAAAAGGAAATATTGATAAAATAATTATTTTAATTTATATATATATATATATATATATATATATATATATATATATATATATATATATATAAAGTAAAATTAAAAAATAAATGTGAAAAAAAAAGAAGAGAAATCCTTATTATATATTCATCACTTTCTTTTTTTTTCTTCATTTTTAATGTAAAATATTTAAGATTAACAATTAAATATAATTTTTATTCTTAAATTATTTTAAAAAATTTATATTTCATGTTTGAATTAAATTATTATCTATTTATAAAAGTTATATAAAAAATAATTCTACAATACATTGTAATTTAACATTTATATATATATATATTTTTAAAATATATTTTACATTATTCTTATAAAAAAAATAGTATATTGTTTAATTTAAAAATAAAAAAAACTTTTAATTATAATTTAGAGATGGAAAATATATTTAGTTTAATTTAATGTCTTTCAATTTTGAAATAAAAATACTTTTAGTCTTAAATTTTGAAATAAAATTTAAATTTATTTTTATTCAAAATTTTGATATATTTTAATTTCAAACTTAACAAATACATGGAATATAAATTTTTTAACTTAATTATATTAATATTTTTTTATATATCAACTGTTTTTTTCAATTAACATTAAAACATAAATATATTAAAAATATAAACAATCCAAATATTAACATAAATGTATTAAAAATATAAACAATTAAAATATTAACCTAAAATATATTTGACACAAAATAACATAACTAAATTAAAAAAAATTCATTAATTTTTAAATTTAAGAACTAAAATACTAAACAAATATTTAAGTATTAGATCTTCTACCCACAATATTATATCTAAATTTATTGAATGTTTAAGAAAAATCTAGAGAGATATGATGTGATCATACTTGAATAGAACAAAATCAGATTTGTGCCACGTCATAATTGATATCCACCATCAGTATCTATTTTCACCACATCCTCAGTATCCATCAATTGTTTGTTGTTTTTCAACTTCAATCATCGTACTCGAGTGTTTGAAAAATGGGCCACCAAAGATTCTACACTGGACCCCATTGACCCAGTCTCACAAACTAAGACTAATTACTTTATTATTAATTGTTAATCCTTGTTTAAGAGGCAAAAATTGTAATTTTAGAAACATTATTATTTAATCTGTCTAACAATATTCTTTAGGATTTCAAGACTACTAGGTTCTACAAATGGAAAACATGGTTTCCTATTTCACAAAAATATCCAACAGAATCAAATTTCACTCTTAAGTGATACAAGAAAGAACATCAGAAGGAGACACCGAAATTATGTAATATTTAATAAAGATACATATCCCTAAATCACATGTTCATTTAATACTCACAAACTTTATATATATATATATATATATATATATATATATTTTATTTTTTTAATGTTAGTTTTATAACGAGTTTAACTTTCAAATTAAGAAAATTTCACCACGAAGGACTAATGTTTTATAAATTATAGGTTAAACCTCTTTGGAATTCCTTATTTATGTGGATATTTTTCGGTTAGATCCTCGTCTTATCGGTTTCGCCAATTTAGTCTTTAAAAATGAAAAATTGACTTAATTGGGACCCTGCCGTTAAATTAACTTAACGAGTTTAAGTTTTTTATGACATGGCACGTTCACGTGGTAAGTTTTTTATACGTGGCACATTCAAGCAGGTTACATGGAATGTATAATTAAAAAATAAAAAAAATAAAGTTTCTGATAATTGAAACCCAAATTAGGGTTCATCATCTTCAACCTTAGCGATTGATGCTCAGGGTTCATCACCAAATTAGGGTTTACTAAAATCAAATTGAGTTCGACCACTAGTAAAAACTCACATTTTTAACTCGCACATTATGCTTCGGATCAAGAAAAACTGAAGCGTATCAAAACGTGGTGACAGTTTCGTAATTTTTAGAACACTATATGTCTCGGTTGTCAAGCAACCAATGTCTAAAAGGAATACTGCCTCGGTTGGTAGGGTGAACCGAGGCATAAACCCCACATATAATACACTAATCAGACCTTTTCACCTGGTACCTTTCTGGTGGCAGAGATACTGCCTCGGTTGGCAGGATGGACCGAGGCATATAAGCCTTTTTTTCCCAAATGCCTCATTCAAGCCAGGAAAACCTAGCGCCTATCCTCTTTTACTTTTTCTCGATGATGTTGCTGGCAAAGAGATTATCTACGGAGTCGAAGAGAACATTGTCGGGCTTGATGTCGCAGTGGGCCACGACCATGTTATGGCAGTGGGCCACGCCCATGTGATGGCAGTGGGCCAAGCCTTCGAGAAGGCTCTTGATGAGGACGGTCTCCTGGGTCTCGGAAATGGGGTCGTTAACGATGCGGCCGAAGAGCATGTGGGGTTGGCAGAGGTCCATGACGATGGAGAGATAATTGTCGTCCTCAAAGACATCGAAGATTTGAAGGATGTTAGGGTGAGGAGAGAGAAGGGTCATGAATTTTGGTTCATTCTGGAGACACTCACGGTCGGTGGAATCAGCGATAAGAGACTTGTCGGTGACCTTGCAGGTGTAGGGTTCGTTGGAGAGAGGGTGGAAACAGCGGAAGATGGTTCCGAAGCGTCCACGACCGATCTCCTCGTTTACCTAGTACTGCGTCTTCAGCACTTCGCACCAGTAGAACACATTCATGGAGTTGTTGGAAAAACTATCATTAATTGAAGGAAGAAGACTAAAGATTCGTGAAGAAACGGAGGCACTTGGTTTCAACAGTAGATCCTTATGCAGGTCTGGTTGCATGTAAGTTTCATCCATATTCTCAACACTATGATAGAGATTGGCTATGCAGTCAACCATTTGATTCTTATTGAGTTCCTTATGACAGTACCGATGGGCAAGCATAACAAGTTAAAGAAAAAGCTGAGCAACCTGATATTGCGTCTTTAGCGCTTCGCACATTCTTCGTTCGACGAGCAACAACAATGGTCTTGGGGTGGATGGTGATGATTGGGGTTAAAAATATGGGTTGAAAATCTGGGTTGTTAGTGCAGGTTGGAGTTTGCTTGGAAAGAAATTGTGGTTGAGCGAGAACAAGCATTATTGTTATTCACGACTTCTAGAGCTTCTTGTGAATGTGTGGGCATACCACAATGCAATGAGAATGGTGTATGTGGACCCCGAGACTGGTGTAATGCAGGAACAACACAAGTTCAAGAGCTGCAAGGGTCAGATGTGGATCAAGGCACAAAGATAAGGAAAAGAGAAACCAAAAGAGCATAGAAAAACAGAACAGAACAGTAAAAATTAAAAACACTTTACTGCCTCGGTTGTCTGTGAACCGAGGTAGAATCCAAACCCTTTTGACTCGGTTCAGAACCGAGGCAAAATGCCTATCCCTTTTTACCTCGCCTGTATATGCCTCGGTTGCGGAACCGCTGCCTATAAGCGAAAATAATCGTTGTTCTTTCCCTTGATTGCACTAGTGGAGATTAAAGACGCAACAAATCACGGATTCATAGAGTTCGAGATTGGAGTGAGTCCAATGTCTCCTAGGGCCTCTCCTTCGAGATTGGGGGTTTTCTCATGTTTCTGTTTGTGCAAGAGAGATAAACTCGCAATGGGTTTCTGTTTCTGTGTTTTGTGATGTCTCTAGGTTTGTAGGTTGATGAATTTGTGAAGAAGGAGACTTGAAGAGATGAAGGATGTGCTGGTTCTCGCAATTGCTCGAGAAGAAGAAACGAAGGCGCTGGAGCTCTCACGACGTGGTCTCGCGGCGGAGCAAGGAGTTTGTGATTCTGGGTTTTGCGCGACTAGGGTTTAATGCGATTCTGCGTTGATGCAGATGAAGTTGTGTCACAGTGCCGCTCGCAATTAAGAAAAAAATGTATTAAGAGATTTGGACCCTTCAAATTTGCAGTTGTAGATTTGGGGAAAAAAGGATGGGTTGCGTACTTGAATTCCTGCAACTACCTCAAACCATGCCCAACCTTGTTGGATTCATCTCCATGGAAATTTTGCAGCTTTTTCTTTACTGAATTGCTCATATTATTTTTGTGATTATTTTCTATGATAACCATTCTTTCAATTGAATTATAAGTATTTGATTTCTAACTTTTTAATTTTCTTTGGACATTCTAATGCATATATTTCTTTTTTATTATGTAAATTGATGGTTAATTTGTCAGATGCTCCAAACAAAGAAAAAGTTCTCAGAATCATTTTAGCGAAAGTTGATTTGGCAACCTTTACTGCTTTCAATGCTTGCCAACCTTCAAGAAGAACGAACCCTAAATCCCTAATTCCTCATCTTTAGATTTAACACTTTTTAAAATTCACCACCAAACCCTAATTTTAAAATGTTTAATTTTATTAAATTACACATATAAAGCTCTGTGAATGCCACATATAAAAAACTGGCCACGTCAACGTCCCAAGTCATAAAAAACTTAATTCCGTTAAGCCAATTTAACGGCAAGAGCCCAATTGAGTCAATTTTTTATTTTTAAGTACTAAATTGGCTAAACCAATAAGACATGGATCTAACTAGAAAAAACTCACACAAATAGAAACTTCCGAATGGATTTATCCTAAATTATATTATTTATCATGAAAAATATATAGATAAAATGATCACAAACTACAAATTTTAAAATAAAATTATTGATTTATTTGATATCAGATCCCACCTTCTAAGAATGAATCTACTTGTTTTTTGAAAATATTTTTAAAATTATTATTTTTATAACTTAATTTACTGTTAAACCACATGATAATATGCTTTTGAGGATATATTTTAATACTTTAAATTATAAAAAAATCTAATAAGATAGATTAATACTAAATTTTCTAAAACAAAACTTTTAAAAATTAAAGGTTTTTCTTACAATGCGAAAAGATTGACTAATTATAAATCTTTTAATATGTTAAGGAATATTTTTTAGTATATAGAGTTCAAAGTAGTTTTTCTATAAATACAATGTAATTTGTCATGATTTGATGTCCCATATTTTTGTTTTTCTTTTTATTTTTAATAAAGATTTTATATAATGACACCGATATCTTGAACTTATTTGAAACCACACAACAAAGTGAAACTTGTTAAATGGTGATAAAAGATAAGAACTTTGGAAAAAAAAACTAATATGATGAATTACAATTACGAAGATAATAAAAAACAAACAACTTAAATTTAAAAATGTTTGTAAATAAAATTTACTAAAAAAAATTACATTTATCAAATAAGTTATAACATTGGAAATAAAAATAATAACTTATAAAAAGAAGTTAGAGATTACAAGATATCTAGAGTAGTGTGAAAAATTTAAATGCAATTATGAATTTTAAAAGTAAGGTAAAAATGTAAGAGTAGCACTAATAAATACAAGTAATTGAAAGCTATATGAAAAAAGAAAAAGAAATTTTGTAATTGTATCACTTATAGAAAATGACCAAATTAGCTCATAAAGAAGTAAAATATAAACATGAAAATTTAAAGCATGTCATTGGATTGTTACTTCTAGCTCTCCTTGATCAATCCTTCAACTACAAAAGCTTGCCATTTCCAACCAATAATCAAGCATGGGCTGCCAGGTGGATCAAGTTGAATGTCAGTACATCCTCCTCTTCCAAAGTACTGCTTATTTTGGCACAAATGGGTTATAGAAAATTTTTCATCATATGTGAAACGTAACATGTTCTCTTTACGTAATTGCATATTAGTTAAGGTCATTCTTTTAATGTTGGTGTTTCTTTGATTAGTCAAAGAGGCAAGAGTTGTAGGTGTTAACAATAAGGGTGGAAAGTTGGCATATCTTATTGATTGGGTCACAAGTAGGCTAGGGTTTTTGTGGTTGGTTTGAATGTGACAGTAATATGTTCTTTGATTTGGTAGGTATTTCTCTTCATAGAGTTTAATCAGGGACATTGAGTTAATGCAATGTAATTGAAGATTGTGTAATCAGATCCCTACTAATATTCTGATTAAGGTCAACCACTAAACCTTTCTGGTGACTCCTTGGATACAATTAGTTAAAGTTGTAAATTGAGTATAATAATATTGACGGAACTGAAGTAAGTTTCCACAAATTTGATCGAGGGATTTCATAAGGTCATAAACTCTGATTTTAGAGCTCTAATGGACCTATCCCATGATTAAAACTCATTCAATCATGCCATCATCTACAAACACAAACCAAGTAATTAATTGAAACACAATTATGTTAATGATGATGAAGTACACAAATGATCATATAGAAGTTTCAAAGAATCTTTCTGAATTATAATAATAATAATTAGTATTTTAAACTAAATTAATTATATTTTTATAAGTTTATATATTAAAAATAAAATTTGCATGCATAGATTACTTATTATTTGCATGCATAAATCCAACCAATTAGATTCAAATTAATAATTATAATCAGAAGTAAAAGTACAAGAAAAAAGATCCAATTTTAACAAAAGCATTTCATAGTTAGACCAATCCGAATCAAGTAAAACTCAATTTATCTAATATTTCTCAACTTCAAGAAGAAAAAACAAGCGTCCTTGCATAAAAGGATATGCAATAGTAAGTCTATCTCACCATTAATTCATAGCCAAGCTAGGAACAAACCCCATTTTTACACCCAAAATATCCTAAGCTTTTCACATGAAATCCAGATATGAACAGCAGCTCAAGCACCAAGTCCAACCAGTTCTACAATAAACATGAAATGATGCAGCATTAATATAAACTAATGCAGAAGACCTAAAACTCTGAACCCTTCAAGTGAACTTCTCCAAAGTGTGTTTCTGCATGAACCAGTGTGGCTCAATGTGCTGTATTAGGAATGGTGCTGATACCACGGTGTGCTTGGACAGCACATGCACAGTGCACAGATGTCAGACTGAGACAACCACTCATGATGAGCGAGTGTCTTCCAGAACAGGTGTGGAGTGCAGGGGATGAGTCACACACAGCCTGCACAGCAGAAGGGGTGAGTGCTGTGCATTGGCTGATGTTCAAAGTCCTTAATCCATCCTCATCATTTCCCCCTTTCACAGATCCCCACATTCTGTTCTTCACTTTGCTTTGTGCCAAAGAATACATTGCTCTGTCTGTTATGTTTTGGCAGTAGTACAGTCCAAGGGACCTAAGATGAGGACATCTGGTTGCCAAGGCAATTACACTGTCATCTGAAATAACAACACATGAGTCAATGTTGTACTATATTGCCAATCAAGAGGCCAAAACTGATACATATATACTAAATGAAGTGACTATTGGCCACTTCCTGAAGCTGCATCATGCTTAAGAAAGAAAGAATATGGTTATAAGAATGTAGATTTTGAAACTTTGAGTGAAATTACTGAAATAATATGAGTAGTGAAACCAACTGGCATCTACAGAACACTTAAATTACTGAAATTTTGAGTGATACCTGTTATAAGGACACAACCACACAAGTCAAGTGTTCGAAGATCAGGGCAGCCATAAGCTAAACTCGTTACTCCAACATCACTGACATTTTCACACCATCCAAGGTTCAAAGACTGTAACTGATTGCAGTAACGTCCAATTGCCTGCATTCCATTTATTTATTAGAATATATCTCAGCCATCTTAGTTGTTATATGGTTGTGACAATCAACAGGTCTTGAACCCACCTGTAGTGCAGTGTCGGATGCAGCTTTAACACATCCACATAGATTCAATACTTTAAGCTCTCTGCATAAACTGGCTAGGTAAGCCAGAGCACTGTCACTAAAGGCTGAACAACCACTAATGTTCAGTTTTGTAAGATGCCAACAACCTAGGGCTATGGCATACAATGAACGATCTGTGAGCTTGAAACTTTTGCTGAGGTCCAGGATTTGCAGGTCATGACAGAAATTTGCAATAGACGCAACAGCATTGTCCTCTAGTTGGGGTTTGTCTTGACGAAGGATTAAAGTTTGCAGTTTTGTAACTTTAGGAGT